TTTATCATCGTGGTATGCTCTATATTAGCGAATTAATAATTCCACTTAGGTTTTCCCTTAGCCGTTTACCATGGAATAGTGGTGATAAGAATTTCGATTTATTTCTTCAAGACTGGTTGCCAACCAAAGCCTGTTCTCAGCCTGTTCTATATTCTTTATTGCAGCCAACCTTTTCTATACTGACACTCGTCTTCAATGTTAAGTTCATCATGGTATATTCTAGCTTGTTTCATGATCAACAAATAAGTTAGTAGCAAACTTTCACGTCTTTGTTGTTGATGTAATGGAATAACCTGCTACCCCCATGAGTGGCGGCACTATAGGTAGTAACCTCCTATAAGTATCCGTTAGGACAGCAGAGTCGAGCTGGGATCTGCGAGAACTAGCGGCCTTCCGATAGCAGCACGCACACAACTGTACTTACTTACGACGACCTTGCGCATAACTATTACTTCCTTGCTTGGTGCACTGGTTTCTACAATAAGCCTGTTAGTATTTATTCACCGTGTTAGTCCATTCCATATTCCTATTTGCACGGAATATAACAATAGTACCTGACTCCTCCTGATATCCTCTACCTTTCTAAGAGCAAGATCATGCCACAAATGAATTACTGATACCATATATGGGCAGAAGCTGCTTAGTCTTAATTTTCCAGTCTCGATAGAATGCAAAAATCATCTCTATGTCCTTGTGGGTGATGAATTATTTTCCACCTCACAACCCTATTGCTGCTCTATCCCTATTTCCATCGAAAGTGCTCAGATGAACTACATTCTTTAGTTCCACCAGTCCTAATCTTCATGGTTAAAACACACTGTGCCATGCACATTGTAGTGAACCACTCTCATTTCCTATTATATATATATATACCGCGAATGAGAAGTGAATACTTTACCACAGTGTTAAGCGGAAGAAATTAGTAACGACGTGGAAGGCATGTGGTGCAACCAAGGACTCAACTACAAAAAAAGATTCGTCTGAGTTTATGGTGGGATCGTTTATTACGAGTGGTTAAACGATGATCAAAATCATAACCAAAATTCAATGTCAACAATCAAAGTGTTCAAAGAACCTTTGTTCTAAAAAATTGTTGTTTACGAAGTATTTACGTATTTTACTGGTTATTTAAAGCCAGAAAATATATTTAGAATGTAATAATATTTTTGGAGATAATATATGAATATATATTCCAACTCCCAAGAGACATGGTTCCCGGACTACTACAATCTTTTTCTGTTCAATTCCAGGGCTAAACATTATCTTCCCCACATATCTCCATGAACTGTGCCTCTTAATCTATGATGTAATAGAATAACCTGCTACCCCCATGGGTGGCGGCACTATAGGTGGAAATCACCTATAAGTATCCGTTAGGACAGCGGACAGGAGAGTCGAGCTGGGATCTTTCCTGGGCAGTTACTATATAGCGTCAAACTGGGATCTTTCCCAGCTGCGCTAGTCGAACTCTCTGCCTTCGGGCAGAAAGGAACCCGGACGAAGCTATGCCGAAGGGTAGAGTTTCGTCCGGGGAGGTAGACAGACCCGATCCCGTTCATACAGGGTCTACGGGGATGTTTTGGCCGAGCCTACGGGCTCGGGAACCCCACATTAAATTCGGCCTTGTGCTACATGTGACTGCGTGGGGCAGTTACTAAATAGCGTCGAGCCGGGATCTGCGAGAACTAGCGGCCTTCCGATAGCAGCCCGCAAACAACTGTACTGACTTGCGACGACCGCGCGCATAACTATTACTTCCTTGCTTGTTGTACTGGTTTCTACAATAAACTTGTTACTATTTATCCACCGTGTTTGTCCATTCCATATTCGTATTTGCACGGAATATAACAGTTGTCGAATATATTCAATCTGCACATCGCCAAGATCTTTATTTTTTACTGTATCTTTATAAAGGCCTTTATTTTTCATTATAAAAATAAAGTAATTTGATTATCCGCTTCTTTAAATCATAAGCACTGGTTGTGCCGACGCCATAATCCCCAGTCAGATATCGCACAGGAAAACTGCGATCAAGCTTCTGCAAAAGTTCTAGTTTCTGTGTTATTAATAACGAGATATGATTCCTTTTTTTTTCTCACTTTTACTCTTAAGGACCCCTGTAGTTCTTTTTTGATGAGAAAGGAGGTCTCGGAAAGATTGATGCTCACGGGACAGATTGAGGGCAAGTGGGGCAGAGGAAAACAGCGCATAGCATACATTTGAGCTTAAGTAAATCAATGACGGAACATGGTTTAGGAGAAATAACAAAATCTCAATGTATAATGTCACAAAAAAAGCCAAAAAAAAATCAGCGAAAATCACACTCACGTCTACCCAATACTAGCGTTTGACAAGAACCGACTAGCTAAAGTCGCTCAGCCAGGCTGGGGCTGGTAGAGTGGTGGGCAGGGTCGAGCCGATTATGGCACCTGCTACCATGTCATACCTAAGTGACGTGGGTTGTGTAGGTAAACTTTTTCCGCGCCAAATTCCACACTAAAAATATTCTGTTTTCACTGGTTTTTTTAGATGTCTAAATGGAATATGGGATTCTGAATTTGTATATATATATATATATATATATATATATATATATATATATATATATATAAAATGTAAAATTTATTTGCATTTGCGATAGAAATAATCTGTGAAAAAATGTTATAAAGTTTAATGTACCTAGTTTTAAGTATGGCTAAAATAACTAATGTGATTTCAGGTATTACTGCAAATCAGTTGGCAAATGTTTTCCGTGAACTGCAAAATCGTATTACCCTTTGTATTGCTAATGATGGAGGACATCTGGCAACATAAATAAAAGTTCAATAAAACCTTAAAAAATATAGATTTACTTCTTTCTAATTCTTTTTACAAAATATTTCTAGCGCAAATACAAATAAAGTTAAAAATTTTTTTAAGTGCACACGAAGTTTATGGACACCCAGTATATATATATATATATATATATATATATATATATATATATATATATATATATATAAAAGAAAGAGTTTGTAGTGGTTCTAACGAGAGAAAAGTATGTATATTAAAAAGAAGAGAAGAGAGGTGCCGCAAACGTTTTTTTTTTCTTTTGCTTTATTTTCCATAATTTTACTACACGCGTTTCTGGTCTCACGACCGTCTTCAGGTAAAAGGCAGAGATTTCCACATATTATTAAAAAGTAATTAATTTTTTCCTTATGTTTTTCAATGTTAAGTATTCTCGATATAAGACATTCTTTGTTTTTGTGTTAGTAATCTGAATGTCTTTCTTGAAATGGCAGTGAAGAGTTCTGGCAGAACTATGGAAAATAAAACGTAATATTTATTTTAAAAAAAAATCCACATTACAACCAAAAACGTTTGCGGCAGCTCTCGTCTCTTCTTGTTAATATATATATATATATATATATATATATATATATATATATATATATATATATGTAAAATTGTCGGAAGATTCTGTACAAAACATATTGTATAGACTAAATAAATTGGAAAAAACGCACCTAATATTTAATATAGTGATATTTATTTATAATATATGAAATTTTATCGAGAAGAATTAAAATTTTGTTACTTACAATTGGATTTTCAGTCTTTTTTTCGGAGAAAAATAATTTGTTGTTTTCCTTTTTTTAAAGCTTTTTTTTTTTTTATTTTAACCAGTTTCGATTAGTTTTTGAAAAGTTGTGAACAAATGAAAAAAATGAAAATCAAAGGGGTAAGTGGTTACCTATGTGGTTTAACGTAAGGAGAGTTTGATAGAATCTATTTATGCAGTGAATTAATTATTGGTTTGAATTGTTGACATATATATATATATATATTCCATACCTGAAGATGTCTGTAGGAACAGACGAAAGCTTGTAGTAAAAATAAGAACTAATACGGCAGAAATTTATAGAAACAAGGATCTTTTCATTCATAACGGATTCGGAGGTTTTTGTATATTATTTGAATTGTTTGCGACGATGGATTTCTCGCCAATTAAATCATTAACCTTTGCATTTGTTTTTGTGTGAATAATTCATAAATATATATATATATATATATATATATATATATTCCTTGGTTTTGTTTTATTCATTTGATCTTTTATGGCTTCCTTTTTCACCCACCATCCCTCCTATTTTTGTTCCTCCTCCTCTTTTTCCCTGCTTTTTTTAACCAATAATGTTTGCCGGTATGAAACTCTCTCTCTCTCTCTCTCTCTCTCTCTCTCTCTCTCTCTCTATCTATCTATCTATCTCTCCTGCTCACACTCTCACTCCTCTGATTCACTATTTCATTCTTATATTCCCTCTCTTTCTCACACTTTTTAATTCCTCGCCCTCTTTCTTACGCTTCCAATATCTCTCTCACTCTCTCACACGCTCAATCTATCTCACCATCTCTCCCACTCGATATCTGACACACACACTCATTATCACTCACTCACTCACTCTCTCATTCGCTCTTACTCTCCAACTTTCTCTCCCACAATCCGTCATTCATTTCCCCCCAGTTCTCTCCAATGCTCACATTCTCCCACCCTCTCACACAAGTTCAGTTTTTCATTGACTCTTTCTGCCTCGCACTCTCTCACTAATTCTCTTTCAATCTCTCAAATATTCTCTCTTAGTCTCACTCACTCGCATGAACTCTTTAGCACTCTCTTTTATTGTCTCAATCTCTCACAGACTCAATCTCTATCTATCTATCTATCAATCTATCTATCTATCTCTCCTTCTTACGTCCTTTCTCACACGGATTCTCTTTCTCTCTCATCCCCCTCGCCTTCTTTCCCACTCTTTCCTATTTATTCTCTCTCGCTCTCTTATAATTTCTCACTTTCTTACTCGCTCTCAAGCTGTCTCGCCTTCTCATTCACTCTTTCTCATTTTCTCTCATTATTTCTTTATCAATCTCTTTTAACTTCTCTCTTTCACTCTCTTTTACTCCCTTGCCTTTTCTCTCACTCTCATTATCTCGCTTATGCTCTTTCCCAAAAGAAATAAATTTATATGCCTTTTTTTTATTCTTAATTAAAAATCCTTCGTAACTCTTTCCTTGATCATTTCAGTTTTGACTCGATATTTTTTTTTTAATTTACAACAAAATTTATTCCAAGATTTTGTGAATTTCGATGAAGTAATCTGTACAAGTAAAAAAGAAATTGTCTGCGTCTGTCCTTGAATAAATTCTTTCTCATACCCCTCGCTGACCTGCGTTCGTATGATCAACATGAAGTTGTTTCTGTCATTGTCAACCTTAATAAGCATGGATGAAATAAATAAAAAAAAAAAAATGACAGTAATTACTGGTATCATTAAACTATTTTTGTTTTATTTTTTTTTTGTGTGAATATTTTTATATCTTTGTTCGTGTGCATTTTTGTTTAATTTTGTCTTTGTTAATCCAACCAAAATTCTTTGAAATCTTTCTGGTTCGAACTGAGAGATTTTTTTTCTTTTTTTCGGGGGGGGGGGCTAATATTTGTCAGTTTATCAAATCTTTTAATAAATAATAGTTTGTGCTGTTAGATTTCGAGTGAATAATAATGCTTCATTTTCAACCCGCATTTTTATAGAAATATTCCTGTCTCAGACGCGAATAATGAATCAACCCAAAGAAAGAAAAAAAAAAAAAAAAGAACGAAGCTTGTAACATACCGTGGATTAAGATTTAAAAATGAAATCGGATTCTGTTAATTAAATTAAAAGAGAATAAAAATTCCGATTAACAACGAAGCTTTGTATTTGCGTCACTGAATTTGCGTGCTCATATATCGGCGCATGCACTGACAAGCAAATATCTGCACATGCGCATATGTGCGATTTGGCGACTGAATTAATGTCTGTTGATATATGTGTGTAAACTTCAGCACGGAGTTGAGCGAAAGATGTGCTTGGACTTTGAAGGTCTTTTTGGGTTGTAAAATGAATGCAGCGACCATATTCAGATAATGCAAAGGTCTTGAGCATATTGGAGAGAAGTGCATTGCTTTATATAAATTAAATGGTTTGTTAATCTGTCATCGAAGAATATTCGTATGTTCTAAGAGTTTCCTTGGGGAAAACGGAGCGACAAAATAAAAATAAATCATATGTAACGTGTTCCATTCTTCAAAGAAACTTCTTCAGATTAAAAAATGTTTTATTTATTGATGGAATGATATATATATATATATATATATATATATATATATAAAGAAAGAAAGAACAGTAAGATATATTGTTGTGGTAGGATCCACCTAATTTGCATAGTGGAGTACCGACCATATAAATATGGTTGGTACCGGGAAGAGAGGGGGGAATCAAGAGATTCAACCAGAGACTCTGCCCGACTGCGACTCAGTCAACACATTCTCCAGGAACGGTCTTACCAGGAATATACAAAAGACTATATGTAAATATTGTGTACACTTTCTTGTTTCAATACATTTTGTTCTAAGTACATTTTGTGTTGCATTATTATTCCATGCATTAGTCAAGTTTCAACATATATAATCCGGTGTTCTTATAGATATTTTTATTTTTACAAAATAGTGCTCAATGTAAATTTACAGAGCCGTAATATTATAAATTAATTGATTTAAAATATGTTTTTTTCGCTACACAGTTCTAACCATGTTTCAAAAATGAAAGCTAAAAGCCCTGAACTTAATTTTGTAAATAAATTAAAGACATTAGTTCCATTTCATCCTCAAGCGAATTTTGGAGTAACTTTTAAAATTACTGGGTTTTAAATAAAAATAAAAATCATAATTCATGTTTCCAAGGTTGCAGATGAATCCAGTTTACTAGACTAGGGGTGTCTGGGTGTTCAATATGTCTATATTTTAATGTATCAGTTATTGCTACGTTTATATTTATATATATATATATATATATATATATATATATATATATATATATATATATCGTTTATAATTATACACCGATTGCTTGTTTGAGAGATTGATTCGTTTTTTGTGGTTTATCAACCCTTTGCAGGTTATTTGGTGGACTCTCCCGTCGTATTCAACGTATGAGGGTCAAGCAGCTCAGTTCCTAGGAACCGACAGCCCAGAAACCAGCACATATCATTTGATTATAGTGGTGAAGGGTTTGTGCAGAACCAACCACACTTTTTGAAGGGCCGAATACAGAGACCTGGTGCACTACGTGCCACAAGGTCCCCAAAACGACCCTTAGTAAGTTTTGAATTCAGCGTTGTCCTTCTCCTAGACCAATTGCCATCCAAGGCTATAGAACCTAATCTGTCCTGCTATTTACCGATAGCTGGTGGGTGGGGGGCAGAAGAAGAGGATTCATACCTTTTTTATAGATAAACATGTATAAACATAAAAATATCTTAAAATAAATGTCGGACTATTTCCATTTCATAACGTGTGACGTCATTTGTTTACATTTGGATACGCAGCGAGCAGATATGAATGTACGTGAAAAAATCATGGAAAATTGTAGTTTAAAAACAGTAAAATCGACCTTGCTAACTGAAAAGTTTCTCTGTGGCTCAATCGGTAAAAGCACGTCAGGCTATATGACGGTTCCGTATACGATACATGTTCGATTCTTGTCGGAGGACGCATATTTTCTATGAAAATTTCTCGAATAAATGCTGTTAATACAGTTTATTATAAACAGATCGTTTACTTAAATATTTGTAACTATAAAAAAGAATGTATAAACATAAACATGTCTTAAAATAATTATCGGACTTTGTCCATTTCATAATGTCTATCTATCTATCTATCTATCTATCTATCTATCTCAGTCTCTTCATGGCTAGCTATCCAGCTAGCTCAGTTAATTGATATTTATCTCAACCTATTCAATGTCGTCCTGGGTATGACGATAAAGTACATCCGGCAGCAAGGCCTCTGATTTTATTGAGGATCGTGGAACCAAATGTTAATTCCTGTTGTTCCCAGGTTAGCACCCCAGCTATGGGTAAATAGTTAATCCTCAAACTGGGATCCAAGTACTATGAAGGCATAAAATGCATTTTTATAGAAGTACTAGCAATACATCTTTGAAGAATTTTTTTACCAGCAATGAATGTATATTCTATTCATACGAATCTATCCTAAAATTTTTGTCGGCATTAAATAACCCATTGATGTGTTGATAAGCCGTATAACAAAATAAGCCAAACGTACAGACATGAATAAAGTTTGATGTGTAAAGCTTTGTATACGTGAAGCTGAAATTGATATAAAAGAATGAACAAAATGATGTCTGACGGTTTATATATATATATATATATATATATATATATATATATGCATGTATGCATGTGTGTGCGCGTGTGTGTCTCTGTGTATGTGTGTATGTGTGTGTGAAGCTTGGTAGACGAAACTATTTAAGAGCTGTCGAGGCCAGTGCTAGCACGAAGTCACAAGTCATCGTGACCGAGAGTTTGAGTGCGCTGTCCTTGTTCGGAATGTTGATGACGCCAGAATAATTTGCTCTCCCCCAGACTCTAAAGCCCGCTCAGCATAGTTGCAGTCAAAACCGCAGGTGGGTTATGTGTGTAGAGCAAACACAAATGCACCTGAGCAGGCGTCTACAACAGGGATTGCCTAGCCGCCTTAGTAGACAGAAATAATAGGATAGGAGAGGCCAGTCATTGTATATGTCTTTTAATGAATATCAATTTCTTTCAAATTTCTCACAGAAGTAAAAGTTTTTTTTTTTGGGGGGTTCTTTTTTTCTTTTTTGCTCCTTTCATAATTCTCAGGATTAGATATTTGACGTTATCGCATGAACTGAGAGGAATAGTAACGATACTGGTTAGACCTATAAAGAATAGGAACTTGTGGAGAGCCAAGATCGCCCATGGCCTGAAGGGACGCATTATTGATTGGATTTTCACGGCTATATAAACCATTTGCAGGTTATTTAAAGACATAACATATTTTTCGATTGTAAGAATCTTTGGGGAGATAATAAAGATTTGTTGATATAATTCCTACTATTTAACCCATAGCTGGTGGGGAGAATATGTAGATACTTAACTTTCCCTAAGGATATTTCCGCGTAAGTGAATATAACGAACACTACTGGAATTGAAACTCGGCTCTCCGACTTCCAATTCCGAGCCGTTATCCATTGCACCACCCGCACACCCTGCAAGCTTACAGCCCCTAGCATTACCAAGCGGTCACCTATCTAGGTAGTCACGAGGCACAACCTCGATGATCATACCAGAACCAGTGTTTCAACGTGATATGACCGCGATCCCTGAAGAGATACGTCACAAAAATCGTCCGGGGTATGACGATAAACTACATCCGCGTCTAGGGTAAGACGATAAACTAAGTCCAGCAGCAAGGCCTCTGATCAGGAGGTTTTGAGGAGCGTGGAACTACCTCATAATTGCTGGTGTTCCCAGATCCACCCTGACCCTGGGTGGTAGCACCTGTTAGGGTCCCAGTTATGGGCAAATGGTTAACCCCGAAACTGAAAGTGTAAAAATAGGTATAATAACAGAAATACTTTCTAAAAAAACAATTACCGGAAATAAATTATTGACGAAAAACGATATTACCATCAATACGTTTTTGAAAAAAAATATTACTAGCTATACAATTTTGAGGGAAAAAAATATTACCAGATGTAGATTTTTGACAAAACAAAAATATTATCAGGAAAAAAAAAAGTTGTCGGCATTAAATGACCCATTGAGGTGTTGATATGCTGTAAAACAAAAACCAAACCAAACCAAACGTCACAAAAAAGAAGTATGGTCCATGAGACTAGCTCGTTAACCATTACCACAAAGCGAGACCTACTTAAGTTGCAATAACAATAGGTAAGGATCGAACTTTAGCGAGTAGAGCTGATTAAGAGTTCGCCAAACCTCTGGGTTTGACAATACTCAGCTTGACGACATCTCTGTCTCCGGACAGGAAAGAACCCAGATAAGGCTATACCGAAGGGCAGAATCTCATTTGGTGAGGTAGACAAACCCGACCCCGTGTTAATGGGGTATAAGGATTTTTTTTTTTGTG